TATGTGAAGAACTCTGTATGACGCCAAAAGCAATATTAGTTTTTGGAATCAGCTTTCAGGATGTGCTGAAAGTTGTGTAATCAGTACCTTACCTCTCAAAAAGACTGGGTGCTTTACTCCTCTACATCTCTTAGGCATGCAGGGCCTGGGAAAGTTGTTTTTTACAGATACTCGAGAGGCCTAGCTAGAGAACTAAATGGTCTGGAAGCATATCAAAAGTTTCTCCACCCTGGGTTCAAAGCTAGGCCCATTTTGACATCAGAATCTTTCTCCAGGCTACAACAATATTTCAGGGAAATAAAACCCGAGTAACTTTAAAAACATCATAGTAACTAGAAGAATACAGTATAAAAATGCTAAATAAGGTTATGATTTTTGTTAAAACGTAAGAAAAATGCAGTATTAACACAGTCATAAGCACCAAAAAAGAAAAGTGCACAAGTAGGGGAGTGATGTGTTGACAGCACTGCCTAGTCCAGAGAAGAGCTGTAATTCAGGATAAGGGCTTCCAGGTGATCAGAAGCCTTAGCTTCAAAACTCTGTTCCCTCTAGAGACTACAACACTGCTGTCCTAACATGAACATGCATTCAGAAAGCCACTTAACATGATGCAGTCATGTTTTTACCTGCATTTGTTGAAACAGGAGTGAGTTACCATACTGCCCTTCCTGAGAATGTACAGAGGTGCAATTTCAATTTACTTTAAAGCATTGGGAAGAAACTGGGGGGGTCTAGAAGTTGCTTCAGATGTTGTTCATCTTTCCCTGCTACAGGTGCTGTACCCTAAGTCTGAGCAGCAAATGGGTGGTGGATGTCAATACCCACTTTACCACCTTGGTGCATGAGAACTGGAGATCTGACTCAGATATGTGGCTTATTTTTAGATTATTTAAATAATATTTGGGGTTAGGTGATATTTATGAAGCACCTTAAAGTCCACGTAGGATAGGGCATTCATGACTATGCATGTGTAAGCAACTTGTCTCTCCTTTTCTGCAGCTGCCTAAGCAAGTTTTGTGATTAAACACTGTATGTTTTGGACTGTGGTTCCACAGGGTGAGTGGCTTGGCAGCAGCACTGGATGAACAAGTTCCCACCCCTGGCACTGCACTTAGGGTGGTATATACTGGTGCAGAAGTGGGGTTGCCTTTGATAAAGCCGAGCCAGTTCTTGGGCATCAAGAAGTCCTTATCCCTGGTATCGCCACTGGCCCACCAGGCTTGTGAATTTCTGAATGCATTTTACAATACTGTATGCATAGCAGAATAATTACTAAGGGGCCAAATGTGACTTGAAAACAGCTTTTGTTCACTGGGGAATCCTCCTCCCATTGCACAGCTCCTCAGAAAAGGCTACTGGGGCCAGGGCACTGGTCTACAGTCCCCAGAGAGTGAGCTGGGGCTTGGTGAGACAAGCAGGAAGCCAGCGCTGGTGCTGAGAGACACCCAGCTGGAACCATTCCCTGTTCCTGGCCCCTGGAGCTCACACCAAACCAATGTTTGCACAGGGCTCTGATGAGGAAAAGCAGCGTATTGTTCATTACTCATAATAACAAACTCCTGAGTCTCCAGATAAGTAAAACATTTCAAACTAAGCTAGACCTAGAGCTTTGGGCTGGAGCATCCTGAAGGGTGAAGCAGACGCGTTCAGATGATATGATAAGGGGCAATATTGGCATGTATTTCTGCTGAGGTTTCCTCTTCATAAATGGTTAAGTAAACAACCCAGGGAGCTGCTGGTCAGTTTGTCTCACTTCAATATCTATCATAGAAAAAAGCAAATAAAGAGGCTATTTTGTAAGCAGTCAGATGGTAACAGGTTGATATAGTGTGAGGAACATGGAATTTTAGGAAATAGACCAAATTTTGCAAAGCTTGCATATTTTTGAAGCAATCATAAGCTTTGTAGTAAGGTGGTTGATGTAAAATTCAGGGCTGATATCATCAAATCGAAAATGAGTTTAGGAATTAATAAAGACATTTATGCAATAGCCTTTGTGTCAAGGGTAAACCTGTATTTAATTCTGTTTGTAGTTTGCTTTCATGAATGCTCTGGAATTTAAACTAGGTGGTTATTGCAGTTTGTGGAAGGTTAAGTTTTAGAGAACTGAAACTGCCGAAGGCTGTGGAGAATTCTAGCAAAACCTGTGACTTCCAAGAGGAAATTCAATGTTATAAAGCTATGAAAATGAGAGGAAAAAAATCCCAAGCCAAACTTTTATCAATCATAACCCAAAGAAAAAAAGGTTATATAGTAACAGCGGGGAAGAGGATCTGGGCATTAATAGATAACAAATTAAACACAGCACAGTATAATTTGCAAGAAGGCAAAGACTGTTCTGGGCAAGGTTCCTAATGTTTCTGCTATATCTGATCCAGGATTACCTCCAGGTCTACCCTGTAGGAGAGAATATTTTATTCTGCTCAGATTTTTACATAAAGCTTGCAGAATCATGAAACACAGTGTACAGATAATGTGTGTTAAAGTAATTGCATGATGTAGTTTCAGTTGTATTACAGTGGGAGTTTCTGTGTGTGTGAGTTGAAGATATATTTGGATTATTACAGGTCACGGTAATGGTTCTACATTGTATTTATCCTTTGTCTTCCTTTTCAGTCCTCAGAGTGATAATTTCTCTCTGAACAGCATACGCAATATCAGGAATACTCTGTGGAAGAACAGGGAACAAATAAAAACCTCTTCAGTGAACAAACAACAGGGATAGCCCAAAAAGAGGAAAAATGACTTTAGGCTTAATGTCAGCTTTCATGAGAAGGCAGATAGATATATGCAGTGTAAGAGGACAGCTAAGAATATTTTGAAACAGAATATTGGTATTTTTAAAAGTAGAACTGAAAGAAAAGTGTTACTGCAGGTGATCAAAGAAAAGCCAACACAAAGAGAGTGCCTCAAACTATGTATTAGGGAAAATACATAAGACTGGCCAGAAAAGAGGAAGAATTTGCATCACTCATGGAGTTTGGTGTGCTCAAAATTAGCTTAGTTCTTAGGGTGGACGTAAGAAACTGTTTGCTATGGAAAAAAATGGGCTTCCTTGAAACACAGTGTTATCTTAAAAAGTGCTTGCCATAATAATAAAAAAGCAAACCCAAACCAACAACTTTTTTGTCAGGATAACCTCTTAAATCAGAGACAGATTACAAACTATTGAGATTCTCTGCTGAGGATTTATATTAGGAGCAGGAACAGAAGCAAAATTTTGTGTGCAGGTAAAGGTTTTTCCAACAAGCTCCATGTCTTGCTTTGCTTGGATGAGCAAGATATGTCTGTGTAATGGTGCTAAGCCTTGGTGAGGCAGAGATGTGCAGGTCTGTCAGGCAATCAGGTATCCCAGAGGGCAGAATGCCTCACCCTCTAAGCTTCAATCCTCGCCTGCAGCAGGGCACTCAGGGCCAAACATCAACATTAAAGTCTCCCCAGCCATGGCAGCAAAAGGGAAGAGAACAATCAGGAGCCCTGTCCGTGTGTGGTGGCTCTGTTCTTCTACAGAAAGCACCTTTCTTGAAGCTCCAAAATGTGTGGAGGGAGAGCAATCCCCCTCTCCTATGGCTCTTTGAAACCATTTTCCCTGCAGTAAAGGGAAACTTCTGTAGTTTTCTGCCTTCCCTTTGCTCACTGCCATGAGCTCCTGGGAGGGGTGGAGTAAAATGTGTCAGTGGAAAATAAGGAGTAAAGCTGTGGTGCACGTTGTACAGCTTTTCGGAATCCTTAGCATTTAGGCAGAGCGAAAACAGCTTTAAAGAGAACCAGGAAGGTTTGAGTTCAGGAGTGTGTCTTCAGCAGACTACACAGTTATCTGACTTGCAGACTCTGAAGTGTAATGGGTTAAGGAAATGCCCTTTTGGTTCTGGAGAATGTGCCTCAATAATCTAAATTTGGTGGTCAGTTATAAAATTGCCAAACAATTAGGTTTCCTTCCTTGTCTGTGCTCATAAATGGAGCGGCCAAGCCGTGCATGAGTGTTGCATGTCAGAGCAGCAGCAAATGAACAGGGCTCTCCAGGAGGGTGAACAGAGGCTCCTGCAACAAGCCCAAGCACTTGGCAGGAGAGGCAGAGAGGGTGGTGACAGCAGGGGAATGTGGGGACCACGGTGGCCTCCGTGAGAGGGCTCGGAGGAGGCTGTTGCTTTGTGTTAACCTTTCAAAGCAATAAGCATTTCTCAAGAGAGCCTATCTGCCTTTTTTGCTAAATATAGGACTGCCTTTCTCCTTCCCGGTCAGTAAGTGTGCTCTGTGGGTGCCAAAGCTGTCTGCTGACTCTGTTCTTTCTTTTCCTCCTGTTTCCCTCATGTCTTCTGTGATGAACTCTGTAACATCCTTGTAAAAGCTTTGCTGCTCCTAATTTGCCTACTGTCATTCCCTGGCCTGGAGCTTGCTCCAGGGAAGGCACAGGAGCCATCTGTCCTGTGGCCATGTCTCACTGATGTGGAAGAGTCCTGGCTGTGCATGGAGCTCAGGTGGGATTCGGTGCTTAGGTGGGATTTGCAGGCAGTGGATGATGTTTCTGACGGGCTGGAGTGTCTGTCAAACAACACTACACCCAGCTTTACTTCTTCCTATCACCAGTGGGTTCAAATGAAAATCAGAAAGCCATCCTGCAGAAGGTCTTGTTCTCTTACTGGGGGTCTGTAAATCAAAGGGTCATGTTTCATGTCCATGCATTAACACATGAGTGCATCAATCTTCTGGCCCCAGTTCAGGAAAGCCTCCTTCTTCAAGAGGGCTCCTGAGCACCTGCTTTCATTTGCAGATCTGTTTTTACGGCATTCTGGTTTCTAGAGTAAAAGGCAGGTTAATATCATGTGGAATAGTGGCTTGGGTGAACAGCAGTACTGAAATCTGTGACTACATCCCTTCCAGCTTAGTGAGACCTAAAGGCCTCTTATGCTAAGAAACTTGATCGGTTAAAACATGAGTCTTCTTTCAAAAGCTTAAGTTAATAGATCAAGTGAAGTTTAAATCAAATCTGAAATCTAAAATGCATTTATTTAAAAATTAGTATTGATTTTAATATTTATTCCTATTTATTGTTAGAGTAACAAATGACATCTTTACTGATTTCCTTTTTTCTGTTTGGTCCAAAAGTAACTGGTTTTCTAGCCATTGTGTTTTTCCTGCTTTACACTTCTTTTTGAAGGCATTTAGCTTCATTCGAGCTTCCCCTTTTCAGGCTTTAATTTGTGAGCAGCTCTTCATAGAGGAGATCAACATTTTTAGACCATGTCTAGTGGCATGGCAAGAAATCTAGTGATGGCGCTGCGTTTTCTTCTAAGGGACTCATTGATCACAGATGAGGTGCCAGACTCCTGTGAGATGTAAGTACATCAGTATAAGAACTGGTATACTGGCTGAGATTACGAGGATCCCTAACACCACAATGCTGTTTTCTATGGTAGGTGGGAATGATGATTAAAGAAAGTGTAGAAGGCAGTGGAAACATTAAGAAGTATAAGATATGAGGTATGTTTTCCCATTCCTTATGGTTGGTGAATTAGGGTCTTATTGAACTAGACAATAACCTGAGTAATTTTGTTTATTAGCCACTGATGGCTGGGCACTTATGTATCTGTTTTTTAAACCCATTTTCATTTATGGCCTTCACAGTCCTGACAGTGAATTCCACAATGGAGTTATGTATGGCACAGAGAAATACTTCCTTACGCTGATAGGGCCTGTCCTTTTGTAGAAAAGGAATATGACAGGTAATGTAACCTCTTTTTTTGAATAATAAGCCCTGAATATGCATGGTTTTAAAAGGGTGAGTGTTCTGTTGCACAAAATGTTTAACTACTGCAGTTTAATTGCAGTTCACTTTGGAAAAGCAACCTGTAATCATCCATTCCTCCCGCTTTCCCTGAACCAGGTGTGGCAGTTGAGCAACCTCAGGAACAGTTGATCTGACAGAAAATTAATCCACCAGAAATCTATTAATTTTCCTTCAGAGTAGGATCCTTACCACACAGCCACTAAACCAGGAGCCTATGGACGCACGTGAAGAAAGCAAAGGGATGCAAGAGCACTCCCATGGGGCAGCCCACTGCTGGATGGGTTAAGCACTTCATGAGTCGGCACAGGGTCTCAATGGCAGGAGTGTTTGAGAAGTGTAGAGTAACATGTCAGATTATCATATAGAGACTGTAGCTTTTCAGGGCTTTCTTATTAAGTGAGAAACTTGTTTGGTTTTCTTGTAGTTCCACTAAGACAAATTCCACCCTCAGTGACATGAGCACAACAGGCACCTGAATTTGGACAGCCAGCAAAATAAGGACATGAACCTGCTTGAGTGAGTCCAGAGGAGGGCCACACTGATGAGCAAAGAGCTGGAGCACTTCTCCTGTGAAGACAAGCTGAGAGAGCTGGGCTTGTTGAGCCTGGAGAAGAGAGGAGACCTTGGAGCAGCCTTCCAGTGTCTAAAGGGGGCCTACAAGAAATCTGGAGAGGGACTTTTTCTAGGGGCATGTAGGAATAGGACATGGGGGAATGGTTTTAAACCAAAAGAGGGTAGATTCAGATTAGACATTTGGAAGAAATTCTTTACCGAGAAGGTAGTGAGGCGCTGGCACAGGTTGCACAGAGAAGCTGGCAGCGTTCAAGGCCAGGTTGGAGGGGGCTTTGAGCAATCTGGTCCAGTGGGAGGTGTCTCTGCCTGTGGCAAGGAGTTGGAACTTCATGAGCTTTAAGGTCTTTTCCAACATAAACAATTCTAGGATTCTATGATATTAACTGATACTCAGATATTAACTGCAAGGAGAGTAATGGGCTTGTTCCTCTTCTACTTGAGCAGGAAAAGCCTCATAAATATTATTCTTCAATCTGTATTCCTGAACTCACTTGGAAAAAAGTTCCCACCTACTATGCTGCAAAAGGTAGCTACAAGTTTTCCTCCTCTCCATTATTGCTCTTCAGATCTTCAATCGAGATTTTCCATTACAACATGAGGCATTAATGTACTGCTGTTTTGTATAATGCACAGTGTCCATGTGCATATTGGCAGTACATTTATGTTCTGGTGCTGTAGGGAAGAAGTAAGAATTTACTTGCAGACAGACACTGTCAAGTTCACAGAAGTATTTGTATTTAACTTCTGAATTTGAATCAGAAGAACACTGATTCACATTATTTAGTTTCCTTTGTATATATCTCATATTATTTAATTGTAATAGAAGCAATTGCGCCCTAATGGTATTGATCATTTAATAATATTAAACTAACAATAAATGTGTCAGTTAAAACATTAAATGATTCTGAGTCACCTAATAAAGCCACAAAGCTCAGATCTTAAGGGACTGGCAAGTTCTAATGAAGATTTAATTCTTATATCTATTTACAAAATTTAGTCTGATTTCTTAAAACAGTGAGGGGAAAATCTGACTCTCTTTTCCCCTACTTAAAAAGTCTGCAAAGCTTTGTTAAGAAAATAAACTGAAAAGGCTCTGAATAACACATGAGCTCCAGAGGAATGCTATGGACCTGCTGCAGCTTAGGCAGATGAACATCAGTGGCTCCAGTTGTTTGCAGCAGACACAGAGTGTTCTCCTCCCTTCTGCTGAGAATTCCCCCACCTTTGTTTTGGTTGGATTCCCACCAAAAATGGCAGAGGATGGGTTTGTGTGTCATGACTGCCCTTGAAGAGCAGAACTGCCACATCCTTCTTAGCCTCAATCAATCAAGTGGTCACCACGGTTCATGCGCTGGTACCTCCTGCAGCATTTGTTTACTGAATCTGTGGAGGGATTACGCACTTCACAGTGCAAAGCGAAACACTCTGCTCGTTGATGATATTTCGGAGGTGAATCCAAGGGAACTGATAAAAGGTCACAACAGAGGCAAGATGGAAGATTTTCCTCTCTGAAGTTCTCTCATGGCTTTCTGTCCAGTTGAAGTAATATGCCTGACTTCTCTGAGACCCTTAGCTAGACCTGAGGTCATCCTGGAGGTAGCAGATACAGCTTTCCTATTGCAGGTATAGCACCAAGAGATGTGTAGTGTTCTCTCCCCTTGGTTCAGGAGAAGTTTTTCCACAGGAGAGCAGGAAGAATCCCATAGTTATTATTTTCACAGATTCACATACTGCCCTAAGGCTTTGTAAATAATCACAGGGGAAAAAATCAAGTTAGAATTAGATTTAGACAAACATTTAATTATGTACAGAGCTTTAAAATTATGAACAGTCTTTGGAATAGAAACATACTCAAAGCTATGAAAGTAATTAGCTGCTACCTTGAATTGTCAGCAGCCTGTGATTAAATAAAGAGCGAGAAAGAGATTTGTATTGCACTTCAGGTGTTTCACAAAGGTTTTGAATTAAAGTAACACAATACCAATAACTTTAATTCTCAATTTGATAGAGTAACTACAGCAGGCTAAAAATCATCCCATTTACTGGAATAATCCAGACAGTACATAGAAATATACAGGTGTGATCTTCTGGATCCCTCTATGCTGATGAACAGGTCAGTACAACTGTTTGTCCGTCACTGTACTGTGCCAGTAGGTCTCAGAGGTGCCAACAGACCAGGATGTGTGAAAGCTGGCTTCTTATGGTTCAAGCAAGAAATCAGTTGAATTTTCTCCACCTATCAGTGTAAACCATTCAAGCAAGCCAGGATGCTTTTGCATAAAATTAAATGAGGAGCAGCATAAATATTTTTCTCTCTGTGGACCCATGGGATCAATATTTTCTGTTAGGACAGTGATGATTCACCCAAGATCACAAGAGAACTTCTTGTGCTGGTACAGCTGGGAGCCTGAGGGTGCAGAAGAGCGTGTCACAGGTGGTTTTCAGACATGACTTTGTTGTTTTGTGTTTGTTGTTGGAGTGTTCATCTGTAGAACAGCACCAGGCCTGGGCACCATCAGTAGCAAAATACTGTTACCTGACTTCTCACAAGTACCACTAAAAAGTGAAAACATATATTTTCTATCTCAGACAACCTGCCTGGATCTGTCCACACATGGACATTTCACTACTTTACTTTGGAGTGTCTTGTGGGTATATAGCCAGTCTCTCCAGTCTTCATGGGACAGTTCAAATGCCATAATTTCACCATTCGTACTGACGTACTGGAGTCATACTGATACAGGGATTGATCACATACTTGGCTGTGAATAGAGCTAAGACAACAGGGATTGTTCAGGCAACATTGCTGCATCAACTGGGTCCCCAGCAGTGTGTGCTATTTAGAGTTATCCCAGAGAGGAGCAGAGGGAGCTTTTGGCCATTGTCTTCATCTCTGAGAGCTGCTCCAACAAGCATTGAAGCCATCTCCAAAAAGCCCTTGATCTGGGAGCATTGGTCATATGAAGGCTCTTGGTCACATGAAGGTGTTCATTTCCAGCTGATAATCAAGAAGTTTGGTCATCCCTGTTGTATTTCCATACCCATTTCTTCATTCTTTATTTGCTAACATGATCTTTTCTCTCATTGTCTGTCATAGAAAAATTTAGCAAATTTAGTAACAAAACTTTACCTATAGTGAGTATCCTATATCATATCATTTAGTGGGGAAAAAAAAAAATGAATCACTTTGCAAATTTCAGGGGGAGGGACATTTTCCCGCCTCACTGCCAGGCACACATATACCCAAAGGGGAAGCTGTAGGTCCTTTGATTCCCGAGTTTGAGTACTTCAGTCTGGGTTTTATGGGTAAGCTTTTACATGATATTTTATTGAAAGATTGTCATTAAACTGAGCTTTTAAGTAAGAGATATTGCTTGAGCTAGCTATTGAGTTTACAAATTACAGCTTTACGTACACTGAAAACTGGGAAACCCTGTGATTACAGGCAGAGTGATATTCTTATAAAGCTGTTATAGATAGCCGTGTCAATTTTGAATAAAAAAGGAAATTAAGTATATCCATTTGATCCCTGTGATAGAATCCTCATCAGGACTTCGGCTACATGAGTGAAAACTTTCACTTCTAAATTGATTTTTCAGTACAGGACCAACTTTCTCTGAGACTGATTTAAAGTAGACATGTAGGAAAGGGAAGGCATGAGTGCTCTTTTTGGGGAGAAGAAGGAAATACCTGAAACCCCTGTTTCCTTTTCTTCAGCTCAGCTGTCTAGCTGTTTATAGCCCAGAGACCAGAGCAGCAGAGAGTAAAGCAGAGTGCTAAAAGGAATGAAAGAGTTAAAGTGTGTTTGAGAGAACCAGGAACCCCGTAGATGTGTGGAAGGAAAATGCTTCCCAAAATGGGTAAAAAATAACAAATATAAAATGTACTGAATGAGCTTTTGTTTTTGCTTAAGATTAACTTAAATTTTTTAGAAGAGAAAAAAATACTTTCTCTAACAACATGAACCCTGTGTATATTTACCTGAGGCTTATAGAAATAGCTCATATGACGAGTCTGGCTCCACAAACTCCGCCTAAGAAGCCTGGATCAGCAAAATTCAATCTGGAAGCTCTCTATAAATTTATGAAACTTGTCTGAGGTTTCCAAGTTAACTAATAAAGTAATCTTTTGTTTGTAAAAGATAAAACAGTCTTATAAATTAATAGTGAAGTCTGTGGAAATGAATTTTCAGCATTCAGTTGTTTTCATTCTAACGATAAAGAAATGCTAACTCAAGATCAGATACACAAAGTGAGGGCTATTTGTAAATATGTTTTATTATTTTTTTATATCTTTTTTGGCTTTTTTACTTACTGGAGACTTTCAGCAGTTTCATGCTTCAAATAAATCTTAAGGAAGAAGTTAAAGCAAGCAGTCAGCTGCTCTAAGGCTGATCAAATAGTTCTTTTCTGCCTGTTTTACTAACAGATGAACAGGCAATCCCATTTATAGAGCATACTACATGTTGACAGAGTGCATTACTTCAGTTTGCCGTATTGGCAATTTGAGATGTTAACAAAACAATGCTGAGGGCGCTCTCATTCTGTATTGCCATCCTTGGAATGCGGCTTGGGTTTTCATTAACTCTGTCGCTACAAGGTACCACAGATGAAGGCAGATTTTATAGGGGGGGGAGTAATAAACATTAGAGAACAGAAAGTTGTAAACAGTTGAAATTCTTGTCCTGT